GTGGTATTTAGAAAATAAGTCTCTTTTCAATCATAACCAATTTGGCTTTAGAAGAGGTCAAGGCACAAATGACCTTTTAAGTACCTTATCCAATGACATTCATATATCCAATTCAAATAATAGATACCTGCTACTGTTAGCGACGGATATACACAAGGCTTACGATAATGTTGATCATAGCATTTTACTTAACAGACTTAAGAAGTTGAATATTCCCCATAATATTATAAAAGTGATAATTCTTTTACTAACGAATAGGTTGCTATATGTAAAATACAAAAATAAATTAATAGGTCCCAGAGTAGCTCTAACAGGCTTACCACAAGGATCGATTTTGAGTCCATTATTATTTAATATTTACATGTCGGATTTTTCTGCAGGAACTCAAGACGATGTTAGGAAACTACAGTATGCTGATGATTTATTTTTGTATATTTCTTGCAACTCGCTTGAGGAATGCATTCACAAAATGAAGCGGTCGATCACAGGTGTCTCAGAATGGATGAGGTCCAACCACCTAAACCTTTCCTTGATCAAAACAAAGGGCATCCTGTTCACTAGGCACAGAAAATTCCTTTACCCTCAAGAAATCAATATGGGAAATTGGAACTGTTAAATATACGATAGTGTGAAAATTTTAGGAGTTACCTTTGATAAAAAGATGACCTTCCGGGCGCACGTAGAAGAGGTGGTCAAAAAATGTGAAGTAGGTAAGAACATCATTAGAAGATTGGTTGGAACTGACTGGGGAGCCCACCCAAGTTCATGTTTGGCTATCTACAAATCCATAATTAGATCTCATATTGATTACGGACACATCATTTACGGAGGAATCTCAACTAATATACAAGGAATGTTAGATAAGGCTCAACTCGCGGCTTTAAGATTGTGTTTGGGAACTATGAGGTCAACTCCTCGCATTGCCGTTTTAGCGGAAGCCGGGGAAGCTCCATTGAATATTTGGAAACAAATATTAACCAATAGATTTTTAATTAAAAAATTCAACTCGGATTCTGCTCGAATCCCGAAGCAATTGGAAGATTTAGCTGTTCTGCATTTTAGAGCGAACTATTGGAGAAACAGACCTACACCTCCATTAATAACTGGTTTTTATAATTTGAATCCTTTGGAATTACTCATTTCCCAAGAAATATATAGGGTTGAATGATTTCAATTATACGACACATTATTCTAACAAAAATATAATAAACTGGGAGTTTGACAATTGGTTAGATACGGAATGGAAAGATTTTACGGTTATCTACACTGACGGTTCCAAGTTAGAAAACAAAGTTGGATGTGCTGTGTATGTACCTAATAGAGATAAACATTTACAATTCAATTTACCGGGTTTTGCCTCAGTCTTTTCGGCAGAACTTACAGGTATTAATGCTGCCTTAGACTTCGTTATACAAGAAAAGACTTCAAAAACCATAATCCTAACTGACAGTAAATCTGCACTTCTGGCTCTAAACCATCCTAAACAAAATTGCAATTTTTTAATATTTGACACTATCCACAAAATAGAAAGCATCTTAGCAAATAAATATGAGTTCAAATTAATATGGATAAAAGGGCATTCCAACATTCGTGGAAACGAATATGTGGATGGACTTGCAAAAGAAGCCTGTTTATCAGATTTTCCTTCAAGAAAGGCTCCTGCGACTGATCTTAAAAGCTGGGTAAGGAAACATGGATTAAGGTTATGGCAAAATGAATATGATATGGAAGACAGAAAAGGAACCTTATTTAAATTTTGCAAACCAAAAGTGTCTTTCAGTGCATGGTTTGCCAATGCCAGAAACAGAAACGAAATAACCATCATCAATCGTATTAGATCTGCACACACATTTTGCAAATCTCATCTTTTTAGAATAGGTATGGCAGAAGATCCCTTCTGTTCGTGCGGTTTGGAAATACACAGTCTTGACCACATCTTCTGGAAGTGCAAACTATGCTAGTCAAAGAACATCCCTACTACAAAAACTGTATAAATATGAGTTCATTTTTCCTATTAAAACCACAATAGCCTTTTCCTCTAATGATGAAAATATATATAAAATTTTTGTTAATTTTTTACAAGAATGTAACATTAAATTATAGTTATTAAGTACTAGTTATTAAGGTTTTATGAATTAAATCACAATCTTATGTTGTAAACAATTTGTAAAATATGTATATTTCTCTGAAAGTTATAAATTTGTAAAATATTATTTTGTAATAAGAGGCTAAATGACCACACGGTCAAATGCCATTAATAAAATAAAAAAAAAAAAAATATCTACATCTTTCACCTAAAAGAAAAATAATTGAGCTACAGCTAACTATATTTTTTCCTGATTACCTTTTGCAAATTTTTTGTATTATATGACGGTCTCTTTGTGAAATGACTGCAACATAAATGCTATGTTGTTTTCTGTAAAAAGTTTAAAACTAATTATATACTTGGTTACAAAAATAAATCTTTATTTCTTTAATTTCACAATATATTTATAATATACAAAATAAAATCCCGACTGGTAAGTGTACTGGTCAATTTGATATATAATAATCATATCAGTCTATCAATCCCGCCTTTTATATAGGTAGCAATTGATTCGTTGGTACGTTCTTGTGACGACTTGCATGCGGTCGTATGCAGTCGTATATAGTTGTATGCGTGCGGGATGTATCCCGTAACTAACTATTATCATTCAAAAATATATATCACTTATTATTATAATCAATCAAATTTGTATTATTGCAACCTTGGATTATTGCATGAATGCTTGCATAGCTGTGGTCGCAAACCATGCGTTTAAAAGGCATATGACCGCCGAATTCATCCATGCAATCTGTAATATTATCGCTCTAACATGTTCACTTAATAAAAAAAATTATCAATGGATATCTAAAACGAGCTGTATCTGTGGACACTGTCATTACACCTGATTATAAAAATATTCTCTTACAAAAGGAGTGAGGTTTTCTTACTAAACTATCTGTCGCATCAAAATACAGTACTCTACTTGCATTATTTTGCAAATATCCTTTTAATACATCGCATGCTTTATGACTTACTGCTACCGGAATTATCTTTAGAAGGCCAGATAAAATTTGGTTTTTCGGTGGTATTGGCAATTTCCGTAACATCATAAAAACTAGATCCACATTGTCGTCGGCATGGAAATCATTTTCCTTATTTTCTTCATACTTTGCTTGACGCATGCAAACTTGTGAAGGTAGATTGTATACTTCAACGAAATTTTTGATTCAGGAAATTCTGTTATCATATCCTTGAACTGCTCGAGACGACATGCTGCTGGTTTTTGATGTTTTTGATGCAAGTTTTTTTTCAATCATCTTTATCTTTTCCTCTTAGTTGCCTACATCTAAGAATTGGGTTAGTTTCTGTACCATGATTAATTATACCTTCAGGTATGATTAAAATTTCTTCAATCATTTTTTTATCAGGATCAAATTCAATGTGAGCATTAAATCATACAATTTCCAACATCCTTTTCCTCCTTTTGATTTCGGTTCTTGGGACAATAAGCTCTACTATGGGCACTTTTTTTATTTGGATATTTTATTCTAAAGCACAATTAGAAACACCAGAAAAATTGCCAGTCATCGTGCTTGACAAAACATCCATTTTTGTAACAATATGAGATCCAAAGAAGATACTCTAAAAATAAAAGGTTAATATTTAATAAGGATAAATTAAGATAAGTATAATTATCTCTTGTAATTTATTGTCCTCAAATTGACTCTGTCTTGTTTCAGTCGCATTTCAGCTAGGGCAATTGATTGAAACTAATCCAATCCGTGCGGATGTAACTTCTTTATCTTCAATGTTTGGCAGTGATAGCGTGTCTGCTACCACGTTAATCCTTTACGGGGTGTAATCAATTTGTAGGTTGTACTGCTGCAGCAGTAATGCCCATCGCACCAGTCGACCACTGGGCGATTGTAGGGATTTTCGCGAACAAGTAGTCTAGATGATGAAGGCGTTGAATCCAGTCTTCTGATAATACTATTAGGTCGTCCAGGCAGCTTAGAATTGGTACGTCGAGTAGGCCGGAACGGAGACGGTCCATGAGGCGTTGGCGTCTATGGTCGATATGACCTTGGCTCGGCTGGTTAGATGTAACAGATCGTCGATTTGTGGTAGAGGATAGCTGTCTGCTGTCGTAATGGCGTTGAGTTTACGGTAGTCTACGCATACTCTAGTACGGCCATCCTTCTTTGGCACCATTACCCGGAGCTGTTCATGGTGAATCGCACTCCTCGACGATATCCTGCCTGATCATTTCGTCGAGTTCCGTTTTTAGTGCCATGCGTTTGGCAGGTAATAACCGGTATGGTGGGACTGCGATGGGCGCATGATCGCCTGTGAAGATATAATGTTCGGCATGGTTACGCGGGCCTTTTGCTTCCTTGAAGAGATCACCGTTCTTGGAGTGTAGCTGCTGTACCTTCCATCGATATTCTTCTGAAACTGGATGTCCCTCATTTTCGCGCAGACTCATCTCCCTCGCGCTTAAAGAGGCTATGTGTATTGTAGGGATGATCATAGCCGGACAGAAACAGGTATCGAACAGTGCGTCCAAAGTGTGCTGCTCGACCTTCTTCTCCGGTGGCGTAGCTGAACGAAAACAGGAATCGAACAGTGCGTCTAATGCCTGTAGATCATCTGTTTCATCCGTGTCCATCTCTTATTGTGTTGGTACGGGTACGCTCATGCCACCCTCATTAACATGCTCTGCCGACCGTGTTACTTCGACTGTCCAAAAAATTTCATCCTCTGCTGCAAAATGGTACTTTCGCGTCTGGTTCGAAAAGTTTCACGTGCGGTGCTTCATGTCTAACACAAGACCGGCTTTGTGTAAGAACTTTATCACTTGCTGCGGATAACCCCTGCTTTGCCGCATCCATAACAGGAGATTTTCGCTCCGCTGCGAGTTTCTGGCTCGCACTCCTCCTTTGGGATCTGCTTTGTCCCTTGGCGTTTTGCGACATTATGTGACCGTGTGTCGAATGTTGCCGCAAAAAGAGCAGGTTTTTCGTCTTTCCACCGGATTGCTTTCTCCCATTTCTGCCTCGAAAATGTTAGCTTCTACGTCGCGAGCTCTTTGAAACAGCTCATCGAACGTATTAATCGTTGTCCGTGGGATGCGCTTACGGATCCGCATACGCATTAGCCCGTAGAGCATGTCTATCTGCATATTTGTCGAGATACCGTAGGGCAACTGCGCCACCAGTGCCCTCTTCTGGCAAACAAATAAGTCTGTGCTTACCTTCTTATCTTGGCGAGTCCTAAAAAAGTCTATATAGACGTTGTGCGGGGGTTTACTTGGAGCGAACGACATTCTTATCAAGTGGATCGCCTCGTCGAACGTATTGGTAGCCTCCGTCTTCACACCTTCCCACCACGTAGCCGCCGTGTCCTGGAGAAGTAGTGGTTTAGCGCATTCTCATCCGAGATGCCCTCAACGTCCTTGTACAAGACGATGGTAGTTGTGAATTGCTTTACTTTTTCGGGAATCCGTGTTCCATTGAACCTAGCCGTGCACCTGGCAAAGCTGCCGGTCATCAAGTCCGTCCGTGTGCCCGATTGTGCGCTTATCACTCCCATCAGTCGCTGCACCATTTCTTCTGACATGGTAACTGCCATTTTTCCGTTTCTGGCCCGACGTTGGGCGCCAGTTTGTAATGGGGTAGGGTTAGAATAAATGAAATTATCACAATTTTACAACAACCGTTACTTTTTTTATGGGTATGTAGTTTACAGAACACAGAAAATATATATACAGTCACTAAATCAACTACGCGTAAACAAGGAGTAAAATTGATAAAGTCGAAGTTACTTTATCGCACTAAGAGTTTACACAGTTTTTCTTATTCGTGCGTCCGCGCTGAATATCACAAAATACGAAAGAAAATTATTAAATGCAACTACACCGCATTCAATACCACAAAGTCCGAAAGAAAATTATTAAATGCAACTCCACTTATTATCACAAAGTTCGAAAGGAAATTATTAAATGCCACCGGTTTATTCGCGGTGCCCGAATTTTCGCGAACAAGTAGTCTAGATGATGAAGGTATTGAATCCAGTCTTCTGATAATACTATTAGGTCGTCCAGGTAGCTTAGAATTGGTACGTCGGGTAGGCTGGAACGGAGACGGTCCATGAGGCGTTGGCGTCCATGGTTGACATGACCTTGGCTTGGTTGGTTAGATGTATCAGATCGTCGATTTGTGGTAGAGGATAGCTGTCTGCTCTCGTAATGGCGTTGAGTTTACGGTAGTTTACGCATACTCTAGTACCGCCATCCTTCTTTGACACCATTACACCTGAGCTGTCTATGGTGAATCGCACTCCTCGACGATATCCTGTCTGATCATTTCGTCGAGTTCCGTTTTTAGTGCCATGCGTTTGGCAGGTGATAAACGGTACGGTGGGACTGCGATGGGCGCATGATCGCCTGTGAAGATATAATGCTCGGCGTGGTCACACGGGCCTTTTGCTTCCTTGAAGATATCACCGTTCTTGGAGTGTCGCTGCTGTACCTTCCATCGATATTCTTCTGAAACTGGATGTCCCTCATTTTCGCGCAGACTCAGCTACCTGGCGCTTAAAGAGGCTATGTGTATTGTAGGGATGATCGTAGCCGAGCGGAAACAGGTATCGAACAGTACGTCCAAAGTGTGCTGTTCGTCCTTCTTCTCCGGTGGCGTAGCTGAACCAAAACAGGCATCGAACAGTTCGTTTAGTGCCTGTAGATCATCTGTTTCATCCGTGTCAACATGCTCTGCCGACCGTGCTACTTCGGCTGTCTCAAAAATTTCATCCTCTGCTGCAAAAGGGTACTTTTGCGTTTGGTCCGAAAAGTTCCACGTGCGGTGCTTCATGTCTAACACAAGACCGGCTTTGTGCAAGAACCGGGCGCTTGCTGCGGATAACCCCTGCTTTGCCGCAACCATAACAGGAGATTCTCGCTCCGCTGCGAGTTTCTGACTCCTCCTTCTTGGGGATCTGCTTTGTCCCTTGGCGTTTGCGACATTTTGTGACCGTGTGTCCGATGTTGCCGCAAAAAGAGCAGGTTGTCCATCTTTTCACCGGATTGCTTTCTCCCTTTTCTGCTTCGAAAATTTTAGCTTCTACTTCGCGAGCTCTTTGAAGCAGCTTATCGAACGTATTAATCGTTGTTCGTGGGATGCGTTCACGGATCCGCATATGCATTAGCGTGTAGAGCATATCTATCTGCATATCTGTCGAGATATCGTAGGGCAACTGTCGCTATCACTCCATAGTCATTTTCCTCCGATATATTTAAATTCACTCCGTCTGTAATAATATCGTCAATCGCCAATATTTCGTAAACCCCTGTATTTTTGTTAACTATATGCACTCCCTTTTCAATGATCACCTCCAAATCATCGTGTTGAATCATATCTCGCCCCAATAGACATGACGCATTCATGGTATTTTCTGGGACTACATACAAAATTAGTGGCACTTTCGCCCCATGCTCCGGAAACGTCAACCGTAGTTTTGCAATACGTTCAACATCTAACCTCGCGGGGTTAATGCCCTCGAACCCGGCTCTTGTGCTCCATGCCTCCACTGGTGTTTCATTAGGCACACAAGATCGCTTGGTAATCGACATTACTGAACCCGAGTCTATCACACTCTCAAACTCCACGTCAAAAATCTTTGTTTTAACCTTGTAGGCCGGTATGGGGTTTATTAATAGTGTAGTGCTATCCGGCGCCACCTGCGTTCATCACACTTAGCAGGGTCGCTAAATCTTTGAGTTGGTTCATTTTGGCTTGAGCCTGGAGTGGCGGGTTGTCGAAGCCGTCTATCATATAGGCTAGCAGGCCAGACTCGATAAAACCCAACCTATTCCCTGGCGCCATTTTCTCCTCGAAGTATGCGCTAAATGGTTCTTGTTTTCGCCACCTCCGAGACTCGAACCTTCTCATCCGAGTCATCCGGTCTTCTCTATTCTTGAAAAATGCTGTTAGCGCCCTCTTAAGCTCATCATATGAAGAGGTTGCGTACTCTGCTTTGCTGTCATATAATTGTTTCGCGCGCCACGAAAGCTTCGATATCATCAGCACCACCATCTTCTTCTTAGCGTCGATCCGTCGAATACCGGTATCGTCGCTAACAATTCGCTGCTCGAGATGCTCTCGTTTTTATCACCGATTGTGGCCCTAATAAGAGTAATAAAATCTGTCAACGATAGCACTCTTAAGGCTTCTGGCATCGAGCTCTCAGCATCACCTCCGGTAGCCATTTAACCAAATCTTAATTTATTTTTGCAATCTCAAGTTTTTAGTTACAAATATCGCAGCTCCGCGACTCGCCAACGCCAATATCACGCCATGCTATCGATATTTTCTTCCACTTTGTTCTTATTTTAGTTAACCACGTGTTATCCCCACTTCTGCACAACCACACAAAACTTACAAAATAACACCTGCAGTTGTTTGATAGAGCAGCACATCTTGCTTTCTATCGCACACCGTAATTATAATCCGCCTGATTAATAACACGGTCACTCAAAAAGATTATTGAAATCGCCTATCCCAATAATCCACTCCAAAATGTTCTCCAATAAATCCTCGACGTTCCGATCCAATCCCACTTTTGAGCTTTAAACTAGATTTACTCTAGTATTATTTAATAAATAAAACACCTTATTACTTCTTCACTAATATATTTAATAATCATTCACCAAGTTAACACCACGCCGAAATATACAACACTCAACAAGTTACCGCCAGACACCGATTCGCACACAGATACACACTTCTGTTCCATAAGGATCAGACACCATCCATATACACACCATAGAGCACACACACTTCGGGAAAGTACCCTGAAAGTACATAAAACATTACATAGTATAAAGTAATATTTTAAATAAGAACAACTCAAATGCAAAATATAATTGATTGATAATTATGATTTGGCCAATTCATTATCGTCGTATGCTCTGATAGAAAATTGTTAATGCCATGCCACATCAATTGATGTATTAAACTAATTGCGATTTCTTTTTGTTTCAGATTCATCAATTCGAGAGTTTTTCCGAAATTACTGAAAATTCCGAAATTTCTGCCATTTTCATTTCTCGAGATTTTTCCTGTTCTATTTTATCCATGTGTTGTAGAAGTTTGTCTGTCAACTGGTCTCGTTTTGTTTCCTTACGACGAAACGAGGTCGTCGGCATTTCATCAATCTGCTCGAAATTAAAATACATTATATCTTATATATAAAATTATTCTGTAACAGTGTAAGTTTCATTAATCTTCCTAAACTATAATTCGGATTTTCATGAATCTTCCTGAAGTTTGTTCAGGAAATTTTCTAGAATGTTTTGATTCATAGAAATAAAGTTAGATTGTAGAAATTTTGGTATACTACCAATGAAATGCGTATGATAATTTATAATAATAGTTTATTAGCAGTTTATGTACATAGATAACTTATCGCGACCAGAACCCGGGACCGACTGGCTGTTGAGCAATCCATACGCGCCATCCGGCACGACCCTTACGACGGCGACGTTGCCCATACGCCTACAGTACTCCCCCTCTAGTGACGAAGTTCACGAAAATCCGGCCTGCCAAAAATCCGGAAACCGAACTCGGCGTCCTCGTCTTGTTGAAGAGTTTGGTTGTGCAACTGGCTCAGGCTCTGTCGGGCTCAACGGCTGAGATCTGCTGTTGTTGTCAGATTCTCGCTGGATTGTTTGCGGAATCTCATTAGACTGCGACGGAACGGATTCAGCATTTTCTTCTGGTGCTAGTGTGTATGCTGGCTTCAAACGGTCGATAGATATGGTGACATCTTTGCCACGCATACATACCACAAAAGACTTTGCTGATCTGGACTTTACCTCAAAGGGACCTTCATATGGATTCTGCAGAGGTCTCTTTGGGCCGTCGTTTCGAACGAAAACGCTCTCCGCAGTCGCTAAATCTTTGAACACAAATGTTCTCTTCTGGCCATGTCGCGTTCCGTTGATGGGGCAATATTTTGCATGTGGTCCCGCAGGTTATTTACAAAGTTTCTCTCGCCGTAATTACTCGTCGGTGTTACGTGTAGCATTGGTCCAGGCAATCGCAAGGCTTCGCCATATACCATTTCCGCAACAGTAGCTTGCAGATCCTCTTTCCATGCTGCACGAATTCCTAACATAACCGTCGGTAATATTTCTGTCCATCTTTCACTGCTATGGCATCTGATAGCTGCTTTGAGCTGGCGGTGGAATCTTTCAACCATCCCATTGGCTTCGGGATGGTATGCGTAGTCTTGTAATGACTCGTGCCAAGCAGCTGATTTAATTCA